CCCCAAAACCCCAAAACCCCAAAACCCCAAAACCCCGGCCTTCTCATTGCTGGTTGAATATACTATTACTCATCATGAACATAATTAACCTTAAACATTTTGATAGTCTCCACGTTGAAAATAGGGATCTCCTGTTGTCTCATGAAGACCTGTCCCCAAATATAGGAGATTGCCCATGTATCAATAGAATTATTTCCATTATAGGTTGTTACAAGGATCTTTACTTGATTTGGAAGGAGGCCTTTTAGAGAGCTCTTTTTCAAGAATTCCAAGAACTAGAGAATTAGAATAAAATTTTACCTTATCAGCATCAATGTTGTTATCAGGAGATGGGTTCTTTGCTAGGAAGGCTCTTGCTTTATCATCAGTATATTGGATAGCATGTTTGATGTTGATAAGATTAAGACTCTTTTTCCATTCTTCTTCCCATTCTGGGCTAAGGAATGGTTTCTGTACATGAGCACCAGCAGGTGGAGCATTATTTTCTTGGTGTTTTATATCATCTAATGGAACATCTACCATACCATCATTATCTTCTGTCTTGGCTTCCTCTCCTTTTGATTCTTCAACTTTGGCGTCATTCTTTGGTTCCTTAGGCTGAGAATCTTTTGTAGTTTCAGTTGTTGCTGAAGTTTCTGTTTCCTTTTTAGTTTCACCTACTTCTTTATCTTTTACTTCTTTAGCTTTTTCTTCCTCAGATCTCTCTTCACTAGCTTCAGTTGGTGTAGTTTCTTGTTTCTCTTCTGATGCTTTAGCATCTGAAGATGATTGCTCTTCTTGTGAGGGAGAAGCTGTATCTTCTGAAGTTTCTTCCATCTTCTCCTCTTCTTTGTTGTCTTCAGGATTTTCTGATTCAGATTGTTTAGGATTATCTTCTTTTTCTTTGCCTACCTCTTTTTCTTCAGAGGGTTCTTCCTTTAGATCCTCTTTAATTTCTTCTGGCTTTTGAGCAGCTTCCTGAGTTTCTTGCTTAATCTCAGTCTTTTCAGGTTCCTTTGAGACCGCATCTTCTGGCTTAGCTGTTTCCTTAGGTTTCTCTTGTTTGATTTCTTTAACCTCTTCTTTCTTTTGTTCAACAGCGGTATTGGAGAGTTTGAGCTCACCAATTTTCAGAACTTCTCTATACTTGATAAGAGCAATCAGGAATTCTTCGTTTCCTTCGTCATGATAGAGAAGGATGTAGTTCATAGCTTCGAAGAGATTTGATAGGATTCTAGAGGTCTCTTCTCTCTTTTTCAGCAAGTCTGGATTAGAAAACATCTTTATGAGGTAAAATATGCACTCTCAACTATCCTTAGTTAAGCCTTTGACGTATGGAGCAGTGTTCGATAATACGGAGACCAGTGATTTATATAATGGTCTGAGGATACCTGGTCCTGCTTTAATCATTCTATGAATAACTTGGTAGGTTAAATCAGCAAAAGATCCTCCTTCAAAATCCTTTAAATCAAACTCTAATTGGAGATTATATGGCTCATTCAAGAGCATCGAGAAATCCCTGTTGCTTGAAAATGTCAGTAGCATGAACACTCAAATGTAGAGAAGATTACATTTTGTTGGGTCTTTCTTGAGGCTGTCAAAATGGTATAAAACCGTGACATAGATCTTACTCAAAAATTCTGGATGAGAGACTACCTCATCTAAGAAGTAAGCATTACCTTGAATAAACCTCCAGAACAAAATATACAATTCCTGGTAGAACTCAATCTGGGTTACAGAGTTTGGCAGGTAGGTATTTTGAGAATCAATGAGATTGCTGAAATATCTGGCTATGGACTCTACAAATGGCTCTAAGTTCATTTTTCCATGAATAACCTGAAGTAGACGGTGGAACTCATTTGTAGTCAAGTCCTCAGACAATGTTTTCTCCTCATTTTTATCCTTTCCTTCTTTGGATTGAAAATACTTATAGCTTTGTTTAAGAGATAAATATCCTCCTTCCATTAAATATTGGAGATTCTCTTCAGTAGGAGGCTTATACTCTATCAGAACTAACAAAACGCTTAGACAGATTTCCAGTAGTTTTTCACTAAGCCCTTGAGTATTGACAGAACTTAAGTAAGGGATTCTGTACCCTTCAGTGTCATAAGAAATAATGATATTCAGAAGAGAGACAAATAAGTTTTTGACATTGCTAGCTCTCCTACAAGTTAAAAATCAACTAAATGGGTTCAGAATTGTCAGATATTCTTCTGAGGTGTGGTACAGAGGCTGTGAGATTATAACAAGAAGTAGTCTGAGTAAAGAAACTCTGTTTGCATCAAAATCAACATATCCGTGGTTATAAACATCTCCAGAGGTAGATATACCATTTGCCCACAAAACATTTGGATCAATCCCCCTTTTATTGGTGTGTCTGCTGCCTTCTGGAAGAGTCCTTACTCAGAAGCCTGGCTTAAACAATAAAGTCAGAATAGACTCTCATAATTTGACTCCATAGGGTACTTCATCGTCTTCCCACATAATTTTGTCCATGTATGCTTTGTTGTCGATTATGAAAGGTAAGAATTTACAAAGTAAGTTGATAGCTCCCTTAAGCACTGAAATAACCTGGGCATCTTCGATGCACTCATAAGCAGATGCTTTGTTATACATAATATCAATGATTTCTCGAATGATATAGAGGAGGTTCATTGGTCTGTTCTGCTTCAGATTTTTAATATCTTCACTGGTAATAGACGTGAAGACCATAGATTGATCAGAATTGTCCTCTGAATAAGCTCATAACTTCTCAATTCCTTCTGGATCTTTATTGTTAATGTCCTTTCCTGACAAGGTGTTGAGCAATTCTTTGTATTCGATCACTGAGACACTGTTTCCCATTTTGTCAAAAATTCAATTTTATTATTTAGATTCGGGGTTTTGGGGTTTTGGGGTTTTGGGGTTTTGGGGTTTTGGGGTTTTGGGGTTTTGGGG